CACCATACACAAAAACCAACTCAAAATGGATTAAAGAACTAGACATAAGACCTGAAACCATGAAATATATAGAAGGAAATATAGGCGAAACACTACATGACATGCACCTCAATAACATCTTTAAAGATACATCACCCAAAGCAGTGATAGTGAAGGCAAAGATAAATAGCTGGGACTACATCAAATTAAAGACCTTCTGTACAGCAAAAGAGACAGTAACCAAATCAGAGACACCCCACTGATTGGGGGAAAATTTTTGCACACAACACTAATGATAAAGGACTGATCACAAAAATCTACAAAGAGCTGATGAAACTCAACAAAAACAAAGTAAACAACCCAGTCCAAAAATGGGCAGAAGAGCTAAAAAGAAACTTCTCTGAAGAGGAAATGCAAATGGCCAACAGGCATATGAAAAAATGTTCAACATCACTTGTAATCAGGGAACGCAAATCAAAACTACCATGAGATACCATCTTACACCAGTGAGAATGGCACATATTAAAAAAACTAGCAACAACAAATGTTGGCGAGGATGTGGAGAAAAAGGAACTCTCCTGCACTGCTGGTGGGAGTGCAAACTGGTCCAACCACTATGGAGAGCTGTGTGGAGATTCCTCAACCTGCCAAAGATGGAGCTTCCATATGATCCAGCAATTCCTCTCCTAGGTATTTACCCAAAGGACACAGAAACATTCATTCAAACAGGCACCTGCACTCCTCTGTTTATAGCAGCTCTATTTACAATAGCTAAGCTATGGAAACAACCCAAATGCCCAAAAACAGATGACTGGATCAAGAAGATGTGGTTTATATACACAATGGAATATTACTCAGCAATCACAAAAGATAAACTCATGCAATTTGCAGCAGCATGGATGGCGCTGGAAGGGATCATGCTCAGCAAAATAAGCCAGAAAGAGAAAGAAAAATACCGGATGGTCTCACTCATAGCAGGAATTTAGAAAACCTAAATAAGGGACCAGGAAAAAGACTAACTGTAATAAAGTAAAAATCAAAATCAACAAGCAACTATAAACCAGAGACACACTATGGGTGGGGGGAAGGAAGGAGTAGGATCAAAATAAGGGGGGTGGGATTGTATGGGGAATATAACCAAGATGAAAATGCATACATTGTGCAAAAATGAAAAATGATGTAAAAAATATATAAAATAAAATTTTAAAAAAGGGGAAAAAATGATGGCCTGAGTTTACTGTTCTGTCCTGTCAGGCTTGGTGCTGGTCACTATGTTTTTGGTTTCATCGGTGCTGGCCAGGCTTGTAGCAACCACCCCCTGCCACCAGGCATGCCTGCAAAGCCAGGCACAAAAACCTTGCTAACACGTCCAATTTTGTGATTCCTAAAGGTGCATCCTAATGATTCCTACCTCCTAGGGTTGTTGTGATGTTAGTACCAGAGGCGATCACGCATGTAATATGAGTAGCAAAGGCCTGGCAGAGTGTTGTGGCTACCACTTACCGAGCATTCACGCTTTGCCAGGTTTATGTACCTGAGTTTGTGTGCTTGCATGGAGGTTGCTACAAGCCTTGCTTGCCAGCTGGGAGTAAACCAAAAACACAGTAACCAACACCAGGACCCTGACAGGTCAGAACAGTGAGCTCAGGCCACCTAACAACCTTGTTTGGGAGGAGGATTGGCAACCAGGGGCCTGGGGCAGAAAGGAGACAAACTGCCCACTAGATAACCACACAGGTACAGTTGGGGGAGGGGTGATGAGAGGTGGGGGTTGGCGACACCCACTGGGGTAGGGGAGGGGGCTTTCCTTGTCCAGCGAGAGAGGAGACGAGGCTACTGTTTCAATGAACATGTGCAGTGGGGGTTGTGTATGTGTGTGATGTGATAAGCAACTAGAGCTGGTAGTGAGTGGGCTGAGAGGAGAGAGCGGACCTTGACACCCGAAGAAAGAGCCTAAGGATAGAGCCAGCATGTGGCGGATGTGGAATTTGAACCCAGGTACATCCGTCTCCAAAGCCCCTGCTCTTAATCATTTCAATAGTAATACCTGCCGCAGAGAAAGTACTGAATAAATATTTCTTTAATGAAGGAATTACTGAGGCCTCTTTCTGGAAAGTTTTCTCTCTCCATGTCTACCTGGATCCATCTGAGGCCCAGCTCAAATACGGCCTCACCTCAACTGATGTATTCTCTTTCTTTAGCTCTAGGGTGGGAGAAACAAGGGGCATCAATGCTGGGGTGAGGAAATGTGGGGTGCAGGGATAGGCCAGAGTGGGTGGAGCCAGAGGAAGGACTGAGTTTTGCACAGATTTTTCTCCAGAGAATTTGAAGTTGCTTCAAGGATTGGATTCCACCCGTAGCAAAGAACCTCACAATGGCTCTGATTGGTGCATTCCAATCACTTAGCAACCATGTGTGGGGAGGAGGATAAAAAGCCATTTTAGGTCAGGAGATTAAGAGGAAAGTGAAGCAAATATCTACCGTTGGCCAAGAGCACGTGTACAGGAAGTGGGAGGGAGGGAAGAAAAGTGGGAAGCACCATTCTGAGTTAAGAATTACTGCCTTAAGGGTTGTAGGGTCTCTAAGTTCCTGGGAACTTGGGGATTTATAATTCTATGGTCTAGGAAACCCTAAAACCAAGGATATTAGGGTTCTAAGGATTCTAAGCTCCTATAGCCTATGGTTCAAGGACTTGAGCAATTTTTTAGCTATGAAATGCTGGCAGTGCTGGAGCTTAGGACCTAAAACAAGGACTTTAAACTGCAGAACACTGGACACATTAAAATGTTAATCCTCCTTCAACTTCAAATCTAAATTTAACTCTTGGGAATGTGGTTTCCGAATGGTCTTCCTCACAGTTTAGGGCTCTCTGAAGGTACCACAAAGAAGGGAGTGGAGTTAGTTAGCAAGACAGAGGACACCAGGGTGGGAATTCTGGGTCCCCTGCTTCTATCAGGGGCAGCTCCATCTTGACTGGGTTTATATATTGGGCTTCAAAAGAAGGGTGTTCCTGCTGAAGCAAACAAAACCTGGAAAGACCAGTGCAGGAAGCCACATCTAGCCCTTGTGGTTGTTTTAATGGACAAACACTGCAAAGATTTGAGAGCTCTGGAGGAGATGACAGAAATCAATCATTAGTTGACTAAACTAGTCATTAACTGACTTTAGCCCAGAAGCTCATTTCAGTTATAAAATGAATAATACCCCCTACTAGGACTCTCATTCCTATGACTACTGCCACTTACCCAGTGTTTTTACTATGTGCCAGGGGCTGTGCTAAGTATTTGACATGTATTATTAGCTCATTAAATCCTTGCAACCTTGACAGGAACTATCATTATTAGCCCATTTTACAGATGAGGTGTTGGAGCTCAGAGCCAATAAATTTCCCAAGGTCATACAGCTAGGTGGTAGAGTCCACTTTATTTACAAGCAGTAACAGAATGGACTAAAGGAATTAAAGAGGTCAAAAGCAAACTGCCTGGTGGCCTTAATTAAGGAATAAGGTTACATTCTGACCAGTAGATGGCGCTGGCGTGTGTTTGACCTGCTCGAGGCTATGTCCCCTTCAGGGACGTCCCCGCAAGGGCTGAGCACTGAAGCAGCTTGTCTCAGATTGAGGGGAGCGGTCAATAAAGATGGCCAGCATTTTGCTGAGATGACATTACCCTCTCCTGTCTGTAGCTAAGATATGGAGAGAGAAGCAAGTGAGGGGACCAAGAACCGCTTTAAGAAAACTGGAGAATCTTTTTCCCTCAACGTTTCCCGAGTGCCTATTTTCTGCCAGGTAGCATGCCGCGTGTTGAAGTCACACAGGAATATGGAACGTACGGAACACGGCCCCATCTTACTGCACAGGAAAGGGGACGATGCCGTGGTAGGGAAGGCACTAGGCATGGGATATATGGGAGTACCCAACCTTCGCTTGGGTTGCTGGGGAGGCTTCTCGCAGGAGAGGTGTCTGAGCTAGTCCTATGGGATGAATGGGCTTTTGTCACACATACAAAGGTGGAGAGGCTTTCCAGGGCAGATTTAAAGCCACTGAGGGGTTAGAAAGCACAAGACATTCCCGGAGAGGCAGTCTAGGCCCCAAGTGTTGAGAGAGGAGTGTGAAGAGACAGGCAAGAGCCAGACCACTGGACAACCTAGAATATCAAGTTATTTGTGATTTCTGACTATATTAGTGGAGAAGGCATCGATTTTTCCAAGAGGATCTGTGATTAAAGAAACAACAAAAAACAATCCAATGGTTGATGAGCTAATGAAGAGCCTCAGCAGGGCTTTAAGCAGGGGCCTGATCTAGAAGCCCGCGTGCAGGATGCAATGCAAAGGAACATGCCAGGGGCAAGAAAACTGGGGCAAGGTCAGGTATGAAGGCCTGAGCTGTGGAAGATACAAAGGGAACCGAAGAGGTAAAATTGATAGGAATTAGTAGCCCCCCAAGGCCCCCTCCCCACATGCACGTACCCATCAGCAAGGCTCAACTGAGGAGCAGCTCTCACCTCTCCCCACATCTCAGGCCCAGCCCTACTCTTAGCCTTCATACTGGGAGCGTTGTTTCTCTCTTTCTGAGTAGTCTTTGACATTTAATCAAGTCTGATTTCACAAGTTGATGGAGAGGACCTGGCCCTTGCTGGGCCCCCAGGCCTATGTCCCATGGAGAAAGGTCTGTCAGCTAACCTCATGTAGAACAATGCATTGGCCTTGAAATGGTCTCTGACCCTCTGCCCACAGCTTCACAACATGGGCAGAGTTCAGTTAAGAAATCAGCACAGTTCCAGGAAAAAGGCAAACATCATCTAGTTTATTTTTCTCCTGATTCATCTCCTGTCAACACCCCAACAGATATCAGGTGATGTGGGGGAGGGGAAAGGTCCCCAAAGTAAGCTGATTTTCTGAATGCCCCCTTCCCTTCTTATGAGCCCCATCAGAAAAGCACCCCAACTTTCCTTGGATCTTGTGTTGGTGTCCTAGGAGGTGAAGCCAGAAGTCACGATTTCCATGGGGAGACAGAACTAGGAGGCACCCGGAAGGTCAAAGGGCCTTGAAGAGAGACTCTTCCCCACTGTGTGGGCATGCTCAGTCCTGCCCTGCTTCCTGGGGGCGGGGGGAGCTAGAGAAAGCAGGTCTTCCTTCCCTTAGAGCACCAAGTATCAACACCGCAACAGCCCAGACGATGAGGTATCAGAGGCCTGGGCTTAGAGGCCAGCTGGGAACAACCTGGGGGTGCTGGGTGATTCAGAGACCCAACTTTCAATCCAGAGAGCAGTGCCTGAAGATTCCTACTTTTACTGATGCCCTGGATCTTTGCCAGGCATCCTGTATCCCTTCAGTTTGGACAGGTCGTGGGTGGGGAAGGAAGGTAAGCTGTGGCCCTGTGCCGAGCTGACCCAGGAACCCTCACACACTCTGCTGGCCCCTTTTCATCTGCCTCCTCTTTCTCCTCCTCTTCTTTCTGCTCCTCCTCTTCTTTTTGCTCCTCCTCTTCCTCCTCTACTTCTTCGCTGTCTGAATCCTCATACAGGTTGATGGTTGCCTGGACAGGGAAGTTCTGCAGTAAAATCTCCCCATCTCTGTATAGGTAGTCAAAGGAGCGGGATTTAGGCCAGAAGAGTCTGCAGACAGAAAACAGAGATGGTCCCTAACTTAGGTCTCATATATGCAAAGGGTTCAATAGGGCCAAGAAGGCAGTGAGTCCCTAACCTGTCTCCTACTTGCAGGAAAAACGGAAAGGAAGAAAGAGAGCTTTGTAACAGAACACCTGGATTGTTACAAAATGGCCCCCAGCAGAAAGGTAATATCTGTTGGGCCATAACTACGGGGGTGGGGGGGGCACCCCAGCATCTGCCAGTTCTGACACTGATCCCGCCCCTAACCCTAGAAAACCTCTAGCCAAGAATTCTCTAGCCCTAGGTCCTTCATCTCCTACTAGGGCTTCCTTCACTGGCCTGTCCATAGAAGCTCATTTTTAGGGGTCACTGATGATGCCTCCAGGGGTGGTAACCTTGACAAACTCCCTTAACCTCTCTGGGCTTCAGTTTCCTGGGCTCTGACACAGTGATCATAGCAGTGCCTCCCCCCTCCTCCTTCACAGGGCTGTTGTGAGGATTTAAAGAGCCAGTGGACCTATGTCAAGTTCTGAGCTGGGTGCCAGAAGCTTACCTGACAGGGTGATGGAACTCACAGTCAGCCTTGGTGACCTCAGCACCTGTTGCCCCACCAATGGCCTGTCCAAAGCAAAAACTAGCATGTGGCTCCAAGTACATGGCCAGATAACTGCCTCCTCCACGTCAGAGGTCAGACACCTGCAGGTGAAATGATCTAGAAGAGACCTGAGACATCTCTGGGGTTCAGGCCCCCACCCCCAACAAGGGGGTCTGTGCTGATTGTGGGTGAAAAACAAGTGGCCAGAGTCCTGGAGGTTGTTTGCTTTCTTGCCCTATTTTAACATCTGTTTGGAGACAGTCCAGGGGACAGAGTTCTACTGGAGCAGCAAAGATTTGGGGGGCAGGGGTAGGGAAATAGCCCTGGGACGAGATGCCAGGATTCTAGCCCCAGCACTAGCACAGAGGCGCTTCAGGCCTGCGCCGATTCCTTCCCCGCACTGCACCTCAGTCTCTTCAACTTTCATATTGCCTCAGAAACCTGGGTGCTGCCCTCCTCCCAGACCTTTGTGGGAAGCAAATATGAGTGAGGCTGTGAAGATGCTCCCCGAGGTGGGCAGCCCTGGCCTGAGGCCTGGGGCTCCCCGGGAAAGGACCTGCTCAGTGTGTGTCCACGAACCGGTGTAAAAGGGGCTCAGACTCACTCAATCCGCAGTTTCCTCACCTGCTTTACAGGATCACTTGTAGAGGACAGCCAGGGCCTCCAGAGACAAGCTCCTCTAGGACAGAGAGGGGAGATCAGTGGGTGGAGGAAGAAGAGAGAGGAGGGTGGACTTTCTGAGATAACAAAAGAGGCCTCCAGAAAACTCAGCTCCAGGAAGTCTTTCCTGGGGACCCTGAGGCCAGGCTGGGACACTGCCCCTCCTCTAGGCTCCTCTAAGGCGCCAACAATGTTATCATTGCTCTCCTGACACTACTTTGTAATTGCTGACCTGCCTTTGAGATTCTTAAGGGCAGATTTCTGTTTGATGGGCTCTGAAGCCCCAGCTCCTCGCACAGTGCCAGGTGCGCACTAGGTGGTGTAGGAAATGCTTGTTGAATGTGAGATGTTGGGAGGAACGAACGAGGGTTGAGTAAGTGATATCTTGCCCACTGAGAGAGCAGAGTCCTACCATCTTCCTGGGCTGGTGAAAGACATATTCCTGGCCCAGTGCTTTCCCACGGGATTTGCAAGGGAAGGAAAAGGCCATTGGAAACCTAGGAGAGCACTCAGGAAACAGAGTGCCTCCTCCAAGGCATCCGGGGCCTCTTTTGCCCCCTCCACAGTCTAGGTCATGTGAATCTTGGGGTTTCCCTGCAGTATCCCCTGTGAGCCACTTGGCCTCTGAGGTTGGTGGCTGGACTTTCAGTTGTGGTGGTGCCTACTGTCCCCAGGCCCCCTCTGGCCACCCACAGGAAGGTAAAAGCCAGTGGGGATGGTGCAGCCCAAGATCTGGAGCGGGGCCCTCCCTGAAGGCTGTGAGGCCTTTGTTGTTCCCAGCTGCAGAGCACCGGTGATACCCTGGGCATCTTATTTCCCTTCCTTTTCCAGGAACTCCATGAAGCCTGAGTTCAGGTTACCAAGGGCCAGTTCCCACTTACCTTTCACTCCCATGTCCTCCTTGTCCAGAGGAGAGAAGGGGCGATGGGCTTAACAGACCAGGGAGTGCCAGTGGGGCCTGTGCTAGGGCCTGGGCTGAGCTGGAGGCAGCGGCAGTGGGAGCAGTAGGGTCCATCCTTGGGATGTCAAGGCCAGACAGGCTCCGGGGGCTCCTATTTCTCAGAATCTCCTGCACTCTTGGGGCCTTTACTGGGAAACCCTTTTATAAGGCCTGGCTGAACTCATAAATTATTCAATGAAGTGCAGCCATGGGGGACTTAGAAGGGGGGATGAAGATTTAAGAAGGGGGCTCAGGGAGGGAGAGCTTGGTCCCTGGGTGTGAAATCTCTCCCAGTTGAATAAACAGAGTGTCAGTGGGGGGTAAGGGGTTTTCTTTCCCTCCAAGTTAGAAAGGAAAACAGAGAAGGGGCAGCTCACACACCGTTTGTGTGAATTCCCAGGCAGTAGCAGGCCCAAGGAGGGGGAGAGGAGGGAAGCTCATTAGCACCCCAAACCACAGAAAACTGCCCAGCATGAGGGTTGGATAGACAGGTCTTTCACAAAGCTGGTTCCCAGCAAGAAGGGCAGGTGACCCAGCAAAGGAGAGGAGGGACTCACGTATTATTTCAGCTCAAATGCCTCATAGATTTACCAGGTGAACCTGATATAGGGTGACTGTCAATAAGCACATCACCTGGGCTAGGAAAAAACGGGGTTCTGGGTGGAGTAGGTCCATTGCCTGTGGGATAGTCCTCCAAACTTATTTCTGCGCCCTCCCTCTGATGGGCAGCTTAATTGCTGGTCTTTAGCAGTAAGCGTCAGAGGAAGGAACGTACCAGGTAGCAGCTTGCAGGGCCTCGGGCTCAGGCTGCAAATCTCAGCACTCAGCTTCCAGCCCAGGAGCCAGGGTGCTGGGGACGCAGGGTTCCACCTGGCTGTTAAGCTGCTGAAGGACCATCCCTGGCCCTGCGACCTCAGTTCCCACACCTGTGAGCTGAGGTGCTAGCTTTGGACCCATAGGCCCTGCCCAGCCTGAACACTCTGTGATGGGGACTGGGTGAATGGGTACTGGCCCAGGGGGTCAGTGAGGTGAGCACAGTCCTCCAGTGTGGCCAGTCTTCTGGGCCTTTGCCAAAAAATCTCCAGTCACAACTACTGGCAGGCTCCTTGTGCTTTAGAGTTCCCTAAAATAGGGCTCCTGACCTCAGTATCGAGCCCCAGCCAAAATTTAGCTTCTTGGCTCTTCATCACAGCTGGGTTTCTAATCATCCAAAATTAGAAACAACCTCAATGTCCAACGGTAATCGGAAACCAGTTACATTAATTATAGGAGTTCTTGCAACCTCGTGCTAAGCAGGCACTCACTCCTCATGTTCTAGGAAGAAAAATTCTCAACGCAAACATGTGCGCGCATGTGTGTGTGTGAGCGCACGTACGCGCTCGTGTGTGTGTGTGTGTGTGTGTGTGTGTGTGTGTGTGAGATCAGATTCTAAAATAGTGCGAATAATTTGAAGGGTTCCTCCATTCTCTGTTTGCCTACCCCTACCCACTTCAAATTCCAGCCCCACTGTGTTATTTGTAGCAAAGGAAAATCGGGAGCCACCTTTAATGTCTCACTTTAAAAAACTGCTTTAATAAATCATTGAACAGTTATACAATACCATCTTATTAAAATTGACTAAGTAGAAGATTGGGGAATAGTTAATATGTTGAAGAGTTAAAAAAAAAAAAAACAGAAGCCTCTACAATGTAGCTTGGAGGATGATTCCATTTTGGTAAGACGAACAAAGTGAAATACACAGCAAGCAGGGAAAAAAGACTGGTTAGAAGAAAGGGGAATGTTACAGCGATTAGTTCTGAATTTTCTAAAATGTTCTCTAAGCATTGATATTATTTGAGTAATAAGAAGTAAAGACACATACACCTTTTTTAAAAAAAAAAAGAAATGCTTAATGGTTGAGGGGGGAGAAAACATTTTGGGGAAATGACAGCCATTTTCAAATGTCTGAGGATTAGACAGCAATGAGATTACACTTGTTCTGTGTGACTTCAAAGAGCAAGGCTGAGGCCCCTGGGTGAAAGCTACAAGGAGACTCATTTTGGCTCAATCAAAGGAAAACTTTCTAACAGCCCAGCCACCACCTAACCCAAGGGCCTGGCACTGTACTGGCCCTCAATAAACAGAGCCTTATTATATGTGGTGAAATGAGTCCACTGGAATGCTCTGCTGTAGACTGGGCTAAGCTCTCTGCCCCAGAATTGAATTGTGTAAGTGCAGGCTGCATCCTGGATCCTGGAGAGGGAAATTGGCTGGGGAGGGGCAGGGGAAAGGAGGGCTGCCAGGGAGTCCCAGCTTCTACCGGCCTCAGGCTTTTTGCTACACCACTGGCAGAAATGGCTAGTGAGGTTGACAGAAGGATCCAGGTAACAACGCTGGGCTAGAAGGAGAAGGCACGTGAAGGGGAAAGAAGCAGGATTTTTTTTCACCTCTAGTTGACCATTGTCTCTGGAAATAGGCACGAGGGAAGAGAAAAAGACATTTTTCCGGAGCCCAGGGCTTCTGCCCAACCAGATTCAGTCACGTTACCCACCATGCCTCCTCTCACCTTGAACTTCTGTTCATTCCGCCATACTCCATGCTTGGGGCTATCTGGCTCTTTTCTGCCCTGAATAACAGACCTCGGGGTTTACCTCACATGCACTCCAGCTTGCTTTCCTGGAGCCCAGAGCCTTGAGGCCTGCCACCGTGGCTCTGTTTTCCTTCTACACAGCTGCTCTATCTTGCTGCTTCCTAAGAATTGCCTCCGTCTCCTTCAGCTTATGGGTGATGAAACCACTGGCCCCCGCTTGCTGACCTTTCCCCAGCCTGAAGGACTTAAGGCCTGCAAATGTTGTCAGGTAAAAGTGGGAACCTGGTTGGTCTTCTTTGCACTTAGCACAGAAAACGAGTATAATCATCAATATGGTGGGAAGAAAAGCCTGGAACAACCAAAATGAATATGCTGTCGGAGCAATTATGATCCTACCTGTTTCCCAAACAGCCCCCTAGTGCTTGTGGGGGTTGTCAGTGGTTGCTTTCTCAGACCTTTCTAAGAGGATTGGATGCCTCCCCTGGGCCAGACACTGGGGCATTGCCTGGCAAGGAAATGCACTGGAAAGAGGAAAGTGTTCTGGGCACTGCCCCAAGGTGCTTATGGCCTGGGGGTGGGGGGGAGACAAGACCTACACACTGGAAGATGAAACCAGTCAACCTCAACTGGGTCCCAGTCCCCCCTCAGGCCCCCGAGAGTATATTTCCTTGTCAAGTCCACAGCACCAGCCTCCACATTTGCCTGGGCCACATGCCAAACTTACTTCAACTCCCTACCATGTTCAACCCCTCCCCTCTCCCTGCATGGAACAACCTCTCCTCCCACTTCCCTGAGAAAACAGAGGCCTTCAAGCGTGAATTACCTCAGTGCCCTGCCCACCACAAATTTGCCTCCCTGTCCATTTTCTTTCCCCTTCAGCCCTCCCTTCACAGGGGACAATGTGTCCCTCTTGTTAAAGACTAATCCCTTCGGCCAGGCCCTCCTCTGAGAGCTCCCTCCAGACAGCATGCCCCTTCTCTTCCTTCTCTTCAGAAAAGTTCAGTTTCTTTATACCAGCTCTTTCCGTTCTGGTTATAAAATGCCTATCTCTGTTCTCTAAACAAACAAAGCCCTTCCCTCCCCAGATATGTTCTCTTGCTCCCCTAATTTGTGCATGGGCTTGCTCTCCTCCTTTCTTCTCTGTTTTCTTTTATTCACCCTCAGATTTGTTGAAAGTAAGTCTACCTTCTAGACCTTTACTTTTCCCAACTTCCCATTTGCACACCAACCAATTGTAATTTGGCCCCATCCCACCCTCCTAGTGCAAGGGCACTATCAAAGATAACCAATGACCCCTGAATTGCCAAGTTCAAGGATCTATTTGGACTCTGGGTGGCAAAAGATACTCTTGGCCAAGTCCTTTTTAAAAAAAAAAAAATATTTATTTATGCATACAAAAACTAGGGTACAGGCCAGAGGTGAGAGGATTCACCAGAGACAGAGCGGGGAACAGAACAGGCAGACTGACTGAAATACACTGCTGAGGGGAGCAGTGGGCGAGACAGGAGAGGTCTGCTGCGCCATGTGTGTTGCTCCCTGGCCGGCTGGGATTGAACTCATGCTGCAGAAGCTGCGGATTGCTTCAAAGTGCTGTGCTTAGCCCCTTGCGCCACCAGGGAGGCCCAGCCAAGTCCTTATAACTCTTTTGGTCTCCATGTTCACTTGCTCCTGAATTTCCTCCTACTTCTGGAAGCATTCCTCTTTTTATTTTATTTATTTAAATTTCATTATTATATAGATATGTATATACGTATATTACATCATTACATCATTCTTCCTTTTTGTACAATGTATGTTTTCTCCTCTCAGGTGTAGTCCCTGTAAAATTTCCCACCACCAATTCACCCGTGTACCATCACCATAGTCCCTTCTGCTCTTCCCTCCCCTGTTTTGAACCCTCTCCCTGCCCCTCCCCTGAAAAAAAAATAGAAGCATTCCTGTTAATCTATTTTGCTGACCTCTCTCCCTCTGCCCTTTCCTCAGATCTGTAGTTCTTGATTATAGCCCACAAATCAGATTAATACACAGTAATCTCAGTGGGCCATAGCAACATGCAAAAGCATCAAAAGTTGGGTTTTTCAATAATCTAAATGTATTCAATTATAAAGGACTGTCCTTTATTTTGAGATTAAGTTCTTCCTATTTTGGGAAAAGCAGTGGCAAAATATTCTCTTTTTTGAAATGATGGCAATGATGGATACTAGTTTTTTATCATTTCTTTTTTTTAAGATTTATTCATTTATGCATACAAGAACTGGGGTACAGGCCAGGGGTGTGGAGGGTGAGAGGACTCACCAGAGACAGACTGGGGAACAGAACAGGCAGACTGACTGAAACACACTGCTGAGGGAAGCAGCAGGCAAGGCAGGAATGGTCTGCTGCGCCATGTGGGTAGCTCCCTGGCCGGGGATCAAACTCGTGCTGCAGTGTCTGTGGATAGCTTCATAGGTTGCGTCTTAATCCCTTGCGCCACCAGGAAGGCCCTTTTCATTATTTCTACTTGGCCAAATAAAATGTTAGTTTCTCTATATCAGTCCCATAAATGTTT